AGTGTTCCACGACCGGGACGAAAACCACACTGCTCCTCCTGAATCCGAGATTCGACCATCGGACGTAGCCTCCTCTCCAGTACCTTGGAGTAGACCTTACCGGGGAGGCTGAGGAGTGTGATCCCACGATAATTGGAACACACCCTCCGGTCCCCCTTCTTGTAGAGAGGGACCACCACCCCGGTCTGCCACTCCATTGGCACTGCCCCCGATCACCACGCGATGTTGCAGAGACGTGTCAGCCAAGACAGTCCTACAACATCCAGAGACTTTAGATAATCAGGGCGGATCTCATCCACACCCGGAGCCTTGCCACCATGGAGGCTACCAACCACCTTGGTGACCTCAGCCAGGGAGATGGATGTACCCGCCCCAACATCCTCAGCCTCTGCCTCTGTAACAGAGGACGTGACGGGGGGATTGAGGAGAACCTCAAAGTATTCCTTCCACCGCCCGACAATATCCCCAGTCGATGTCAGCAGCTCTCCACCCGCACCGTACATGGTGCTGGCAAAGAACTGCTTCCCCCTCCTGAGGCGCCGGATGGTTTGCCAGAATCTCTTCGAGGCCGACCCCTGATCTAGATCCAAACGACTAAATCAAATGTCTTGGTGGTTCAGATTTGACAGTTGTAGAGGTCTGTAAGTAAATGTAAGATTTATTTTGTGTTCATTTACAGTCCGGGAGCTAATAAAAAAAAAAAAAAAAAATATATATATATATATAATAAAAAATTATATCTGGGCAATTAGAAAAAAATAAAAATAAAAAGAGTTGTTGCTTATATCTCATCATGTTTTAAAGGAGCAGTATGTAAACATCTGGCCAAAAGTGGTACTGCAGCCTCCCCAGGCTCAGGTTGCCAGATATGCAGACGAATCCAGCTGGGACCAAATATCTGAATAAAAAATAGTTTTGTCAACAACAAATCTATAACCAAAACTTTTTCACAAAGGCCTCAATTGAAATCCTTGTTTTATTCCTTGTTTATAGATTTGAGAATCATGACGAGACCTTTTTAGTTGAGTCTGGTGTGTGTGTGAATGGTTGGTGGTGGTAGGAGGGGCCGATGGCACATACTGGTTGCCTCACTTCTGCCAATGTGCCCCAGGGCAGCTGTGGCTACAGTAGATGTTTATCACCACCGTGTATGAAGTGAAAGAAAAAATGACATGTGAAGCGTCTTTGAGTGTCCAAAATAGCGCTATACAGTATAAAACCGATGCATTATGAGTATTATTATTAGTTCTGTGGCCACATCTATACTTTACCAGTGAGTTCTGGCGCCTGGATCACAGACTTTATGATTGGTAAAACAGTGGAGGGCGGGACATCAAAATGAAAACAATAACAAGATTCAGGGGCTGTAAATCCAATTTTGAAATTCAAATATCTCGGCTGAACTACTGTTATTAGTTAAATAAGCGTTTGGAAAGAGCATGATTTATGAATGCCTTTTGACAGATTAGGGCCATTTAATAATGACTTGAAATGAAAATCTTACATCTTGCTACTTTTAATGTCTGTTCAGTTCGTGACCATGTTGTTTGTGTGTGCAGCAAAGACCAGCCCGTCCTCCGTGCCCTCGTCCAAGGCTCCGCAGAAGGCCGAACCTCCGGTGGGCCGAGCAGCCAGTGTCCTGACGCTCTTCTCTCCGCTCCTGCTGGGGATGCTGCTGCTGCTCATGTGGTAAGGACGTGTTCCAGATGGGGCCAGTGTCAAACCAATCCAAATGTTTTTACTATAGCACAGTTCAATGTCACTCAAAGTTCTTCACATATAAAACCAACAGAAAATTAAAAACACATACAACAGGTTGCATTAATGTGACATCACAAGATTCCAAAGAGCCTATTATTTAAAAGTGTCGTTGGTATATTTTACAACCTTATTTTAAAGGAGACCTCTGCTGCACTTCCAGCAAGAAGTTAGTTAAATTCATTTAAAAATGAATTTAAAAATCTGAGAAATTGTGATTCAGATTTGACCCCAGTTGAAAATGTCTGCGTTAAATTTTATGTAAACGTTTCCAGATTTGATAACAAAAAGGGGTTGGACAATTATTCTATCCCCACCTCCTCTCACTCATTCAACACAATAACAAACCACATATAACACAATTAATCATCATACAGAATAAAATTATGATACTGTGCATTACGATCATATACATTACCTTACCATAGGGTACAAGACGCACAAAAAAACCCAAATAAACACACACACGGCCACGAAAGGCAAGTTTATTGACTTACAGAAGACAACAAATGCTGAACTAAATAAGAAACAAGTAAGCAAGACATTGAGATCATAAATAGTCACAGAACATTTAAAAGAGTAAAGAGACACACACACACATGCACGCACACACACACACACATGCACACACACACTGAGGGCATCATTCGCACTCTTCCATGCACTTCTTTTTGTTTTAAGTTTTGAGATATTAAACAAGAGCACTGTTTGTGTATAGTTGTGTGTAGTTGTTCATCTAATTATTTGTTGAATTCTTGGTTTGTGTGTATCTTTCAGATGTGGAGGCGCCGTTCCTGGAGAGAAAGCAGACGAGGGGAGGGCTGTCCTTTTTTCTATTTTGCACACGTTTTTGAGGACAGGTGCAACGATCAATTCTGCCCATCACACCACGATTACAAGACTTATGATCTGACAACATTTCGATTCAAAAATAGATTAAAAAATCAACTTGGAAAAAGCTCTAAACTTTTTCACGTTTTTTAATTTTTAAAGCAACAGGAGGGATCCCACCATCCGGTCTTATAAGCCCCCTGGTGGCTGCAAAGTGCCACTACAAACTGATTTCTTCGACTTGGGAATCTCTCTTCAGAAAAAAAAAAAAAATAGTGTTATTTTTCTTGCTTTATTGGATAGTATTGATCATTTTTAAGAAAGTTCCGAGTAGCAGTTTCCCATACAGCTAAATCATCATGCCAAAGACTCAGCAACACCCGGATTTATGCCCTGAAATATCGGCAAAACAAAACGGCTCCCTCTGTAAAAACACGGATTGGTTAACGCTCCCAAAGCCAGTGCCTGTCGGAAAAAAATGGAATTAACCCACGGAAGAGTTGTTTTTGTAGTGAATAAGACAATTTGAGAATCAGATTCGGAATGAATTTGAGAACATGTTTTTTGGATAAGAGAACTAACACTTTGAAGAATTCTGTAGTTAAGCTTATTTAGACAATTTAGCTTTACATCCTGCTTCAGCGTCTGGCAAGGAGGACCCGGATTGTACAAAAGCTACATAATAAATGGATTTGAGACTGAACATTTTTGTTTTTTGTTTTTTTTTCAGGGGGGATTTTGAGTTTCCGTTCTGCTTTGTGCTGTAAGATAAAATAACAAAAAAGTGACGGATTGCTTTCTGGAATTCTGACGCCTTTAAATGACGATAAAGTGTCTTTTTGCAGTTTACATTCAGCTCCACTGTTATGTTACTCAACGGAATATTGATGTATTTCGTCTTTTTTATGGACAATAATTAAAACACGCTTTTTTCACATTTATATTGTTTATTTTATTTCAATTCATTTATTTCTTTTTACAGACATCCATGATGGTTTAATCCTTCTATTTTGTAAACTATGATATGTAACTTTAACATTGAACAAGAAGTTTATTATTTAATACTAATAATAATATTAATGATAATAATGTATGTACTAGCAGTAGAATGTGGTAACCTGTACCTGGGGTCTTTTTTATAGATGTATATACAATGACAGGTTTCAGCCATTAAATGTGACCATTTCACAATCCACGTGTCCTCTCTTTTCACTTTGCACAAACTAGACACACACGAGATTATCTTTTCACTGATCTAAAGTGAGGGTGACATCAAAAACAAAATACACATGTTTGTAAAGGTGGTATTATTAATACTTTGGTGCTTTTCAAACAATTCAAAGTCCTTGATCATTCCAGCCATCACTCACACACAAGGTACAGTTTCACATAGATGTATTGGGAATGCATTTCTATGATTAGTAATTATCACCCAAATAAGAACAATGACAGGTGGACATACATCCTGTCTTGGTGGCAGTGGGTGATGATTTCTGTGGATAACATGTACTTTGTCCAAAGCGAGGGTGTGTGTGTGTTTTTGGTCTAACAGAAAAGTTAAACAAGTACACACAAGCTTTATAAGAGCATTTACCCTCCTCCTGTAAGTGGTTTTGAAAGACACCACAGCAGACATGAGACAGGTCAAGTTTTAATTTACATGATTGAAAACAGACAGGACAGTGTCCAGAGCAGGTGTGACTTGAACCAGGACCTGGAGGTCAGTGCAACAGAAGGTTTGCCATGGATCTCGACTGGAGGAAGGCCCTGGCCCTCTCCATTGGGCGAGAGGCTCTTCCTCAGGTGGAGGGGTCATGTACAGCTTCTCTTGGTGGTGTTTGTTGGTGAGAGTAGAGGTCAAATGGTCTGGACACTGTGGTGCCTGATATCCAGAGGTCAGCTGGTGACTGTGGTCACTGGTCACTATGAGGTCTATGTGTGGGTCTGCAAAATGTTCCCAATAGAAAACCCCAAAAGAGGGTAACTCCAGATCCACAAATCACAGTCTGCAGTGTGGACAACATGTGTCAGCCTCCTGCTGCACAGAACATAGTCCACAGATGATCCATCTCACAGAATGAAAAACAAACAAATTCAATGAAAGTCCTTTAAATATTAATACAAGATACTTTGATTATTCCTGAAGTTTGTGTTCATGATGTCTGTGCCTGCTGAGGTAAACTGGTCTGGGCACAGTGAGGTCTGTGTGTCCAGCTGGTCCTGGACACTGTGCTGTGGGTGAGACGGCCTACAACAGTCCTAGTCCCAGAGGTCACCTGGCCCTCCCCAGGGGTGAGTTCTGTATCCAAATCCATCTCAGAGGAATAAAAAAAGACAGACTGAATGAATGTCCTAAAAAAGTAAATACACAATACTGTGTCTATCTGAATTTTGTGTGATTGTGAATCCAGAGGACAGTTGTTTTGGACACACAGACCTCAAAGTGTTCAAAGTAGGTGTTACTGGAACCAGGGCCACATACAGCACTGTTTTTCATGGTTTGAGTGACTGGAAGAAGGTCCTGGCCCTCTCCATTGGGTGAGAGGCTCCTTCTCAGATGGAGGGGTCAAGTACAGGAACTTTGGATTATTTGTGAGAGGAGACATCTACTTGAGATGCCTCAATGACCCAGAAGAATCTGAAATTACGATGAGTCCTAAGAACGCTGACCCTGGATCGGAAGAAGGAAAAAAAGTCAAGGGTCATCTGTCCCTCACCTGAAGGTGTCTCCAAATCCATCTCTCTGTGGTGTTTGTGTGTCCAGTGGTGACACTGTGAGGTCCGTATGTGGGCCTCAAAACCGTACCCCTCACCTAATTGGAACAAAAACACACATTCAATGTCCTCTAGTACTTACAAGGATCACAGATTTAAGTCGTTTCTGTTAAATAGTCACTTGTTTCCATGATGGTCATATACAGAGACCGGCTGTTGACAATGTACCAACAGCAGGAGACCAGTGTAGACCAGAGGACACATGGTTGTCTCCTTGCACATTATCTCACTGGACCTTCTCCACTCATGAGAGTCTGCTACTTCAGAGGAACTGGCCCTGTCCACCATGTGATGTTGCACACCCAGATGTCTCAGAGTTAGAATGTGCTAATGTAAACTAGAACCATTAGCAGGACCTTGTGCCCAATATAAAGTATAAACTACTTTATGATAAGTTAAGACAGTACTGTGTTTTGGTTAGCTAGTAATATGACAGAACATTTAAATGCAGACAGAAGAAGTAGTATGTTTGTGACAGAAAGGAACTCCTCAGGAAGGCCAGCGAGGAGCTCAGCAGGGGGAGTGGAAAGGAGCATTGGGAAAAGGAGTAGAAGAGGAAGGAGAAAGAGGAGGGGCAGAGAAAGAAAGAGCATAAAAAGCATGAGCTCCGAGCAAAGGAAAGATAGACCATCAGGAGGAAAAGGAGGAGCAGTGGGAGAAGCAGCAGGAGGCAGAGAGAGAAAGAGAAGAAAAACCATAATAAAATAAGGCATCAAGAGAGACAGAAGGAGGAATAGGAAAGTAGCGGGAGGATCACAGAGAGGAAGGAGAAAGACAGAAGGGCACAGCAGGAGGAGCTGAGGGAGAGGCGGCAGCAGGCTGAGAAGGCCCAGGAAGGCCAAATTTGATTTGAAAGGAGGGATGACCAACGTCCATAAATGTCCCTGAATGTCCTTAAAACAGAGCTTTTCAATGATAGTGCATGTTTTAAAATAAGATCCATAATGGAAAAGGCAAGTCCAGTCTTTTTATTCAACTTCGTTTTAAGCAGTGGATTGTTTTTTCTCTCAGACTTTCCTTGTCAACTGAAGGACTGTAACTTTAGTCACTAAAGCACTGCGGTTATGTTATTAATCCCCTTTGTGATTGTAATGTTTGGTTTTAATTATCTGTGTGATTTTGTTTTTGAAACAGGGAGCCTACAAAAACATTACCTCTCTTATATACATTGTGACAGGGTTACCAGACTTTAAGTTCCTTTTGTTTTTGTTTTTTGTTTGTTTATGAACCAAACTCATTACCATGATTGCTTTCAATCCTTGAAACCTTTGTTTGTATGCTTTGTAAATGTTCTTGAAAAATGAAAAATAAAGAGTATTAAAAAAAATAAAAAAATAAAACATTACCTCTTTCTATAAAAGAAGAACATGTGGAATGTGGAACACGTGGAATAAAAAAGCAATGACATAATTATTTGAAATCGTGCAGTCCTTGTAGTTATACAGTTTCGCCACACGAGGGCGCAAGTGCTCGACTTCTCCGTTGGCAGAAGCGGATCTGTGTTGTTGGTTTTTGGACACCTCATTCACTGCTGCACCGGGCGATGGGGTAAGTGTCTCTGCTTATGCCTTCTGCCGACTAAACCGTGGATCTTGCCTTGTATTGCCTCGTACTAAACTCCACATCACATCAGCGACCAGAGCTTACGCTACGATTGTGTTTTTACTGTGCAGCTACCAGCTCTTGTTTGTGGCAAGTGCAGTCCGCCCACACACGAAGCATCCTCTCTGCTGCTGTCACCTTAGCATTTTAGCATTTTAGCATTTAGCATGATCCGGCGGCAGTGTTTCAGTCTAAATATCTGCATAACATTGCTGTAATACAATCGGGATTGCAACACGCTTTCTAATAATTGATCTTGTAAAGTCTCGCGCAAAAAGAACCACTTTCCTCACAGGGCACAAAACAAAAAGATAAATATTGCAAATAAAATTAACTAAAGGCTAAAATCCAGTGTTAAATTACATTGCGTTGATAAGAAGTCAAATGAAAAGGTGGTTTATTGTTATAAATAATAGTGTAATTATGTCGAATCTGCTGCTCTGAGGTGAATGCGCGGCTTGGTTTGTCCTACATTTCAATGTATTGCATTAGAAACGGATTCCTCAGGGTGGAATTGTCCCAGATTCTAATAATAATACAATTTCAGTGCATATTGTTAAAAGTATCATCATCTAGCAATAGTGAATAGAGTGTTTTATACGTAGTAAATAAGATAATTGTAAACACTGGAATCTTCTATTGTCCGCTTCCCACCTCCATAGTTACTGTTGCTATGCCCCGCTTGCCTTTGGCGTGAAAGCTTCCAGCGTGGCCCTTAATAGAATAAAAACTACATTATCTAGCTTCAATTTCAGAACTGCATGTGTCATTTTGCAAGTATATTACGAGTTGATTTAATACAGAATGAGTGTGCACCATAGTCTACAGTGTTTGATACCTGATGTCGGAATAAGAAAATATCAGTTGCATGATTATGGATTTTGAATGGTTTTCCTTGTCTGCTGATATTACAGCATCTAAAATAATATTACATTTCACAACCCTTGCATATGTTGTTGTCTAAACGAAAATCTTTCTTTTGTAATTAAATATGGTAATGCAGACATTTATGGACATTTATGGCTTTTTGTTATCCCTCTACCCATGGGTCAATGGCAGGAAATATCATTTCCTGTGTTGTAATTGTTTAATTTTTGAGATTGAACAAATAGATAACTGCTGTCCGGGCTATACAAAAATAAATAGGGTTAAGGTTGTTGAAGGAAATTGGATATGCCTACTATCATAATGGGCACAAACAACATATTCCCCACCTCCACCTGATGTGTCTCTGTCCCCTCAGTCTTCATGAATCCTTCTGACACTTGACCGGTCAGTGTTGAAGATGCAGGGCTTCTATTCTAAGCTGGACTCGTCTCCGGGAGCTTCCCCTCTCCTGGGAGCTCGGGCGGAGGGGCTCCCGGTGAGTCTGGCTCTGGAGACGGAGAAGGCTCAGGCTCTGCTGCAGACCTTCAGCTCCGCGTCCCTGCTGGCCTCGGCCGGACTCGGGGTCTTCTGCGTGGCGGCCGATCACGCGCTGCAACTGTGGACTGTCCAGCACCACCTGTGGCTGCGGGCCGCCCTGGACAACGCCACACACGGCATTGTGGGTCTGTGGGCGTGGGCCGTGGTGATCGGGCTGCGGAAGAGAAGCGACGTGTACGAGGTGCTGCTGGCCGGGCTGCTGGCGTCACTCATAGACCTGGATCATTTCTACATGGCTGGGTCTCTCTCACTCAAGGTATTCACAGCCATAAGAGTTACCATACTTCATCTGATCAAATATTTCAATTTTACTTATTAGATAAAATTATTCATGTGTCATATTGATCCCTGAAATTTCAGAATCTCCACTGAATTTTAATGTATGTACTTTATTTATCCTGCCATATATGTATATAATTAAGATAGATGGATAGAAAGATGAGGTTGAAGTGAAGCCAGGTGGACATTATATCAGTGTTGTCATTGTTTTTGCCTAAATTCTCACTTGGTTTGAGTCCTTAAATCGAATTTCACAACACTTTTGTATTTTGTAGTCGTCCTTATTGGGTGTTCAGTTATTGACCAAAAAAAAAAGTTCAGGTAATTTATGAATTTCTTTAAGTTTGTTGAAAGGCCAAATAAATAGGGTTAAGGTTGTTGAAGGAAATTGGATATGCCTACTATCATATCGGGCACTATCCACTGGCTGAGTGGATAGCACTCTCGCCTCTCAGCAAGAAGGTCCTGGGTTCGAATCCCGGCCGGACCAGGTCCTTTCTGAGTGGAGTTTGCACGTTCTCCCCGTGTCTGCGTAGGTTTCCTCCGGGTACTCCGGTTTCCCCTACCACTAAAAATATGTCCAATAGTTCTGGCATGTGCCTCCTGTAATGGCCCCGCTCCCATCTCTGTGTGGAGTGAGAGGACAAATGCCCATAATTAACAATTGTAAACCGCTTTGAGACTCAGATCTGCAGTGAAAAGGCGGTATATAAATAAAGATTACTACTACTAAAGATTACTACATCGAATGGTAACGGCTGTAAACAGTGTAGCTATGCTCTGGAAGAAAACTGATCCAGATCCAGTCCAAGACCAGTCCAATTGGTTGCCAGGTCAAAAAGATTAAACAATTGAGTCAAAAACATTGGGAATTAAAGGTAGAAATCCTTACATTTAGAAAATACAATATAGTTTCATAAAAAACAATCACATAGAAATAAACCATCCATCCATTTTCTTCCCCTTAAACAGAGCAGTCATCAGTGGGAATCGTGAAGTAGGACTCATGGTGAATTCTCACTCCCTTTCAAGCAAAGAGCATTACTTCATTGTAAAGAAAAAAACAAACAAACTATGTAATTTGTGTTAATATATATTGTTTACTAAAACGGTTAGGAATTTAAGTTTAAGTTTTGTTGGGGCGACAGTAGCTCAGTTGGTAGAGCATTGGCCTTTGAGCCTGAAGGTCGTGGGTTCGAGCCCACCATAAGACCTACTTCACGACTCCTGGCGGTGACTGCTGTCGTTGTGTCCTTGGGCAAGACACTTAACCCCACTTTGCCTGAAGCTCCGACTGAAAGATCTCAGCTCCTGTGGACTCACCACCTGCAGGAGGATCAGTGAGGGGCTGGTGCTGAGTGTACTGGGTGCAGCTCGAACTGCCAACCCCCCGACCCAGAAATGGATTAAGGGGAAGAAAATGGATGGATGGATGGATATTGTATCATGCTCATGCTTGAAATGAACTATTCATTCATTCAACCTACGACCTTCAGGCCCAAAGGCCGATGCTCTACCAACTGAGCTTCTGTCGCCCTAATCACATAGACAAACTACGGTAATAATAATATAATATATAATATTGATACAGAAAAGGTCATGAAGTCCAAAAATGTACATACGCTGAGAAATTATAGTTCCAAAAGTAAAAGCCGCCAATTTGCCTGCTCTGGGAGTTCTAGTGTGACACTGGTTTAACACATGGGATTGCTGTTGAAAGTGGAGGATTATGTCTCGGTCTCACTGTAGTCTCCCCCTCGCCCCCACAGGCCGCCGTGTCCCTGCCCCAGCGGCCGCCTCTCCACTGCTCCTCGCTCATCCCGCTGCTCTGCCTGACGTTACGCTTAATCATGTGGATCGGACGCCTGAAGGACGCCTGGTGCTCCCTGCCCTGGATGCTCTTCGTCTCTATGGCGACGCACCACGTTCGAGACGCCGTGCGCCATGGCCTGTGGGTGTATCCCTTCGGAAACACGGCCCCCGTCCCCTACTGGCTGTACGTGAGCACTACGGCCACGCTACCTCACCTCTGCTCCGTGCTCATGTACCTGACGGGAACCAGGGACGTGATCTCCACCAAACACGGAGTGGCCATCGACGTGTGATACAAATACAATATACGAAAGAGATGACAGGGAAAAGTCTGCAAATATGTCGCTTATAGTCAAATTTTAAGACTGCGACCGCTAGAACTCGCCTGTTTGGTGTTGATTTACAATGTAAGGTAGACCAAATTCAAAATCTCCAGCAGCTGCCTAAAGAATACTCATACTGAATATTTGGACACTCACAAAAGCTTGCTGGTTTAGGGAGGGTATACAAGAATTTCATTTTGAGTTACTTCTATTTTTATTCGTGTACTCGTCAACGTGTATAATTAATACTCAGCCCTTTCTGAATTATCGCATTCATTTTAAATCCTGATTACAAAAAACAAAGGACATGACGGCTGGTTAGGTCTCAATTTGATCCAATCACAAAGCTGTTGAGTGCCTCATGCTGGTTGCCAGGTCACTGCCGAAAGCCTACATTTTGTGGGTGCGTGTGTGTTTAAGACGCAGATAAGACACTGGTTAGATTGTATTTGTCAAACATTATAAAACCAGGAATAGCAAGCACTCTTTACTGTTCCCTTTAGAACAAAGAAGGCATTGTACAAATGTGACTAAACAGCTCCCATGCCTCAGTGAACTCTGTGGTTGGAGAAAATGAAATGACATACTATTTTGAAAAACACATTTTAACCAGATACTGATCCAAAATTATTGGCAATTTCAAACTGCTGTAAATTCTATACCCGCTTCATCATTTAGTTTAAACAAAAAGTCAAACATGGCCAAATTCTCACTCAGTCCCATCGAAAAATTGGTGTGAGACAAGAGTGATTTCAAATAAACTGCGTGTGAAGATGAACTAAAAACACAACTTTTCCCAGTGAACTCTCCATTTCTACTGGGCTTAAACTGGGACATGACTGAGCAGGTGGCCTTTTCTACAGTCTGCAGAATAATCCTGCAGCATCTCTCAAGGACCAAAGGGTGAAACCTGCTGCTGCCACTGTGCTCCACACGTCACTCCACACGTTTATGACAAAACCTACATTTTCACACAAACCTGTCAGAGCAAACCCCCTCATTTACAAGTGGTGGCGTAGCGATGTCGATCACGTTGCCAGTGCATAGACTCAATCCCAATTTTCAATGTCACAGCGATTGTTTTAAATGTTCTGCTTAAAGTACGGCTTTTTTTTTGTTTTATCTCTGGGGCAAAAAGCTGTAATTTATAACACAAAATCATAGTACTTTTCATTTTTGACATGTTTTAAAGCTAGTCCTGATCCTAGACTGTATACAGATGGACACTGCTAACCCGCTAGGTCAATGAAGCCCAGTAGGGAAGTGCTCATGGGCCGAAGTTTTGCTCCAATTCGCTCTGGCTCCTCGACGTACACTTAAAAGTAAACTCTCGCTCAGTTTTGACTTTAAAAGTCTTGTGATCTCCGTGATCCTGATGTTTATATCTGTGTATTATCTTTGTAAATCCAGAGCCCTAACAACCAACCGATCCGGAGCTTCTGATTGGTGCTTGGTAGCTCAACCGTAGCTGCCAACAAAATGTGCTCACGCGCAGCTCACGCGCAGCTCCACATTTTGGCTAGCTCTTATCAGCTTCTTCTGCATTTAGACTATATGGGTGACTTTAGGCCCTTGGTCAGTTCATTCCTTATACAGTCTATAACTTGGGATACAGCTATTGATCAAAATCCTTCTAAATCTGCTCAGGAAATGTCAAATTCTGTCGTGTTTTTCGGTGTGATGTTTTTGACAGACAAGCGATATGTTGTGAAAGCACTAGGGACACGTCACTCCAGCGACTGTTCCAGACCTAGGATGAAAAACTGTACTTCCGAGTGTAATATCACTGTGATGACAAAAAAGAGCAGTCAATGTTTTTTTAAGGCTGGGGTTCCTAACTTTTGAATCGTTTGAAGAGTCTTGTTAAAAGTATAACGTTGTGAACAAATCAGATCGTACCGGTAAGAAAGAGCCCTCACTATTTTTTCTGGATTATGTTTAGGTTTAGTTTATCAAGGTCAGGCAACGAATGCTACTTTCCATTCTGTAGTCCTTGACAACACAATCATACAACGTGTATATTACCAGACAGATCAAATAAAAAGTGCAGGTTACTAAAATGCATATTAATATACTGTTCAATAAAAGTGAAAGTTAGTAAGTAAGTAAGTAAGTTTTTATTTATATACCGCCTTTTCACTGCAGATCTGAGTCTCAAAGCGGTTTACAATTGTTAATTTTGGGCATTTGTCTGTCACTCCACACAGAGATGGGAGCGGGGCCAGTACAGGAGGCACATGCCAGAACTATTGGACATATTTTTAGTGGTAGGGGAAACCGGAGTACCCGGAGGAAACCTACGCAGACACGGGGAGAACATGCAAACTCCACTCAGAAAGGCCCTGGTCCGACCGGGATTCGAACCCAGGACCTTCTTGCTGAGAGGCGAGAGTGCTATCCACTCAGCCACCGTGCAGCCACCGTGCCGCCACGGTGGCTGAGTGTTACTCAAGTTACTCAAGTACAAATTAAAATACAGTCAATTAGAATACAGTCATTGTTATCCTATTGTGACAGAGGCTAAAAATACATGCCTGTGGAAATGTGATAATTTTTTATCAGATTTTTTTTTACATTTTGTGCGGTAAAAGTTAGGTACCCAAGCTTTAAAGACACTCTAAGGATGTTATTTTAAGAAGAGCTCGAAACGGCATTATCACTTGAGGTCTTTTCTCCATTTTTTTCTGAAAGTGCAGGTATACAAATCATTTCTAAATCGCCATTTTTCACACAAGCTGCAATACGCATTTCACTCACGGTTTATGAGAGGTCGGTCAAAAAAACGCATATCTGCTTTTGATTTCTGCCAACGAATCACCTTTCTGGGAATGTTTGTGGCTTCCCTCATACACTCTAAGCTGTTGTAAGATAATGTAAATATTAATAACAATAGATAATTTTGTATTTTAGTCAGAAGTGGCCTATTTTATCAACACCAAATATACTAGCGGAATTGGGACAAGATCTGAGAGACAGGGACTGGTCAGTTTTGGTATTCTATCGATTTTAATAGTGTAGTGCACATATATCTCATGCTGATTTGAAATTTATTATGATTTTCTTACAGTGGGTTATAAATTCTGTATGTGTATTAGCTAAAAAACAATATTAATGGATGTATTCATTTTATTTATTGACACACAAGACAACAATCCCCTCCAAGTTTATGTTAGCTCAAGCTGCACAATTTTGGAAAAAACAAAATATATGTGTTTCTATTGCTATTTTTGTATTCAAATTATAATTTCTGGAGAATTTGTGTTGTAAATGCAATTTCCCCGCAGCACTATTTATTTTTACGTACCCCCAAAAGTGTCAGTTTTGTTCTATATGCATTTGAATGTATCGATGTGCTGTATATTTATAGGAATTAAGGTATTATGTGCTTTGATTTGTATGAATATAGGGATTTTTTATTATGTTTTTATATTGGTTTGAGGCGTAATAATAGCCTTTATTTCTGGCGGTAGTTCTGAGTGTTGACCACTAGATGTCCTCACTGAGCCGTGGTGTCGTGGGCTCCATCTTCAGGGAAACACTTAACTTTGTTTTTGCTGCTAATTTCATGACACATGTTTTTGTACTTTTAATAATCCAGTTTTGATGATAGAACATGGTGCGTAGAGATTTTTTTTCTTTAAAGCTGGGGTACCTTCTATACATATTACCTGTTTGTCCGAAGAAAAAAAAGTCTAAAGTAAAATGCTGTCTTCATCATATAAGAACACCATCATATAAGCACACGTTTTATCTGCATTCTTCGTATCTAAAGATGTGACAGAGGCCATGTTACATCTATTGAGAGAACTAAACTGTTTTTGAAAGTTTGGAGCAATAGTTAAATGGATTTTGTTTGTATAAAACCATTTTTGAAATTATGGTACCCCTGATTTAAAGTAACTTTGATTTTGCAATTTGCACATTTTATTTTGCCTTCATGTATTTCCATATTAACAGGCAGGCAGTGGTTGGTTGCACTTGTGTGGAGTCACTAGTGAACTTTTTACATTAATAAAAATGTAACTGAGGTTTACTTTGAATTGTTCTTTATGCATTTGATTAAAACAATGTCATTGCCGAGAGTACAAAGCCAGTTTACTGTTTTGTCTGTGAAATCCCCAGATGAAAATATGAGCTAATAGATTATATAATCACAAAAACACTTTCTACCTTCCCTGTTATTGCCCCCATATAGACTCCATTGTGTGTGAGCTGACAGTTAATTGTGAATATCCCGCGGAAGGAAGAGGACGTGTCATGAGGCGTAACTTTCTATGGAACTAATAAATCATATCGGCTGGAGTAGAATGGATCCAAGATGACGGTGGAATTCCCATGAGTTGTGACAAAACGTGAAAGTAAACTTTTAAAAGATCCCATTTGTTGTTTTGGGAAAGGGTTTCTTTTTGGGTAATTTCACATTCAATTAAAAGATTTGAATGGGTCATTTGCAACTGCAACCATAAACTGCAGAGTCTAGGTGGAAATATCTTGGATTTAAAGCCACTAAATTTGATGACCAATTCTAATCAGTCATAGATCAAACAATAAAAGTGTAGATAAGAACTTAACTCTAAAATGTAGCTAGAATCACATTTGATTGGAATCCGTATTTGGCCTGATGGTGAAGCCACTGGATACCTCCGTCTGATCATAAATACTTACTTACATGTATATATTAAAAGGACACAGGTAACTAAAGCCCAATTTCCACCTGCTCTAAATGGCTCTACTCCACCTGGTTCCATTACACTTCAGTATCTGGTACTGCAACCTTCTCACAACAAGTATCTCTAGAAAATCTTGGGAAACCATGGCCCACCTTTCAGCAGCACTGGAAGTAACTGGAATAAGTAACTGCTTGGCCAGGGTAGACCCAGGGCCAAGCAGGTACTGAAGTAGTACCTCTATACCGGTAAAACAGGGCTAGACTCAGACGATGGAATAACACGTGTCTCTATGTATCTCCA